CAGGGCTCTACAGCAGGTGTGCCTGCCGCTGCCAGACAAAGCCAGAGAAATTACGACACAGCCAGGTCTTAGCGTGCAGCAATGGCTCTCAAACTTCCACAGCCTTGTTTCCCCCAGCCTTACTCTCATTAATGAGCTTCTTACCAAGCTGCTCCGAAGGGGAGGTGCACTGTACCGAAGGTGGGGGGGCCGAGGGGGAACAATTGCCCTTAAGCTTATAGGAGGGAGAGGATGCAGCCTGGAGGGATTGCCTGAAGAAGGGCTGGGGGCTGGTGTTGCAGCAGAATGGCAGGCAGCCGGGAGAAGTTTGCACAATGAGGAGAGGCAGTGGCACATTATAAGCAACCTCAGGCTTCCCTGTGTCTTGCACAGCTGGCATCTGGCACTCTCTTGCAGCTCCGTGCTAAGGTCTCCTCTAGTGCCCTTGGTCTCCTATCTCCCCTGCCTCCTTGGAGACGTGGAAAGCACCCGCCTCTTGGTGAGGGGAAGGAGGGTGGTGTTTAGCACACACTGGGTCAAAGATCTGGCCAGCTCAGACACAGGATAAATAAACATGGCTGAGCTTTGCTGTAATTGCCATAAGGAGCCCGAAGCTTATGTTCTCTCATCTGCTGTTTTGAAGGAACGGTTCGGGTAGGATCAGCAGCATTAACCTGAAATACCAAAATGGCTTGCAGGACACAAAGGACGTTTGGCAAGATTTTGACCTTGGCAGAGTTGCTGGAGAAAGGTTTGATTAGCTAGGAAAAAGCCATGTAGCTCCACAAAGAGCTCCAGCTGGTTAGGGTAGACAGAGGTAAAACAGATCTGTTATTTCTTATGCAGGTAGGGCTTGGTGTATTTCGCTGCCTTATACAGTTTACAAGACCTGTTTGCTTCTGGCAATAATAGTCTTGCAGCCTGCAGTCAGCTGGTCTTTGCAGTTGTCCCATGTACACCATGGCAGGAGTGTGGGCACTCCAGAGCCTTTTAGGGTATAGAGAGTGGCTCCAGGGCAATTACTGGGCCCATCTGCATCCTGGCCATCTTCTGTACTCCTGAGGTGCACACAATGCATAGCTCTCACGTTAGACAGATGCCTGCAGAGGCACTGGGTCCTAGGAATTATTCTGCCTGCTTTAGTACGACTTCATGCTCTCAGGGCAAGGTAATAGCTCCCAGTTTTTATAGAGTGAGTCTCTTAATCACATTCTGAAGCTAGGAAGAGATGACTTAGCTTTGTTCCAGCTGCTTAGCTCTTGTCTCTGATAGCCTGGAAACAGGTTTTAAGGGTGTTCCACTGTAGTCCCAGGCACAGCAGATGCAGAATGAATTTGGTGAGCTGCTGCAGACATGAGCAAGAGTTTAAAAACAAGGTCTTATCAGCTGATCCGGAGGTGCTAGCACAAACTCGATGGTGGGCGTGGTGAAGACTGTTGTTCTTGTTCAATGGCCTGCTGAAAGGTGCATGTTTCCCTGGCCAGCTGGGGTTGTAAACAAAATGAACTGCACAAGGAGCAAGACGGCTGTCTGCTAATAGCATATGTTGGTGCTGTTTTGGGGTGGGTTTTTTTAAAACGCTTGGCTGCTTTGTTGTTTTTTTTTTTTTAACCCTTTAACCTCCAGTGTCTGTATTATTTAAGCACTAATGAATGAAAGAAGTAAGACCTTTCTAGTCTTGAAAGACATGAGTGACCTGATGCAAAGCCAACCAGAGATCTCCCCTGTCTTCCTCAGAGCACATATGTGTATTGGAATTGAATCATGCTTTTATAACAGGAATTGCTTGCTGTGATCAATCAGAAAAAAATCCTAGTAGCTTTTGATTTGCCATTTCCATCTGTGAGCTGAAAAGTGGATGGGAAGCTCCCAGGTCCTTTCTGTCATGAACCTGAATCACTGTGGCCAAGTCCCTGTAAAGCCAGCATGACTTGCCTTAGGTTTCTGGAAGATTATGCTATGGTGCATTTTCTCACTGGGGCTGTAGGTGATGGGGAGCTGAAGCTTCTGGGGCAGAGAGGAGTGTTTAGTGCTGAACAGAAAAAACCTGAAAAGAGTCTCCTTTCTCCTTGCAGGAGGGCCCTTCCACTTGAGCTGCAAATCTAGTTCCTTAGTCCTAGTTAAAAGCCCATGGGGGTCTTGCAGCCTGCTGGTTAGCACAGACTTTCCCAACACAGGCCTTTTGGTAGCTAGAAAAACGCCTGGAGCTTCACACTCAGCTAGGGCTGGCATGTGTCAGCTGCTGATGAAAGGAACAATCCTGGCCTTGATTCCTGTCCAGGGAATAGAGAGGGTTGAGCTGTTTCCAACAGCGCAATCAACTTGTACTGAGTTACGTACAACTCTAAAGCTTGGGGAAGCTGGTTGAGTGAATCTTTTCTGGGCTTGGAGGTTGGCTTTCAAAACAGCTGCCTGGGTGCTAAGGAGAATCCTCTTTGGGCGTGGAAGAATGTGGGTAAGACAGCTTCTTTCCTCTATTCCCTGCTCTGCTAATGGAGGTGGATTGCGTTGTCTCTCCTGCTCAGGGACAGAGGGACCCTGTCCCCATGGAATGCTGATGAAAGGAGGCATGTGCTGCGTTCTCTTTTTCTGGGCCTAGGGTCAGTTTCTAGTGTTGCCTAACCCATTTGTCCTGAAGTGGCATTCAGCAAAGGCAATTGCAATAAGTTTATCTAAGGAATTCAGGTGAGAATTATTTTTTTTTCCCCTCCCATGTGAGGATGGTTAAGCCATCCTTCAGACAAGGAGTCTGAAGAGCTTTTGGGATCTCATTTCTGGGAGATATTCAACCCTTGGCTAGGCACAGATACCTGGTTGTATACCCGCTTGGGGTCCGGGGATGGACCAGAGACTTCTAAAAGAACTATAGGCATACATACAGAGTAATACAACAGCCAGACTCTTATTAGGGATGAAGTTGCAATTCAACAGTCTCTCTGAGGTACTTGAATTTATCTCTGTGTTGGTTTAACTCGCTAGACTGCTTGTAGTGAAAGAAACATCCAGGCTGGGGATGGGAAAGAACTTTGAGCAAAAGCTTGAGCTCTAGGTGCTCTCTTTTTTTGGCAGTAGGGTGGAGAAACTCATGAGCCAGAGACAGATGGACTGTGTCAGAGTGTGTCAGAGTTTGATTGACACCTATTTAGCTTTGGGATTGCAGCTCAGACATATGCGGGGGGTGAACTCCCGGGGTGCTGACCCCTGACTGATCTCCTCTTTGTGTGTTCTTAGTGGCTCTAAGGGAGCATGAGATGCACCAGGCATTTCTAGCAGTGGTAACAAGCATCACAGAG